TAGCAATTATATGCCAACTTTTACAGAAAACAGAAGAAGAGAAAATACTTCCCAACTCCTCCTATGAGGCCAGCATCATCCTGCTACCAAAACCAGACAATGGCATTACAGGAAAATAAAACTATTGACCAGTGTCTCTCATGATCATAGACACAAAAATCCTTCACAAAATTTCAGCAAATCAAATCCAGGAATATATTCGTAAAAGATATATAATGACCAAGTAGAGTTTATCCTGGAATGTAAGGTTGGTGTAATATTTAAAAACAATCTACATAATTTACCTTATTAACAGACTACAAAGAAGATCATCTGTTCAAATGCAGAAAAAGTATTTTACAAAATTCAAAACCCATTCATGATAAAAATTCTCATCAAACAAGGAACAGAAGGAAACTTCTTCAACTTAATAAAGGGCATCTACACGAAATTTAAAGCTAACATTGTATTTCACAGTGAAAGGCAGAATGATTTCCCTGTAAGATTGGGAAGTAGGCAGGATACCTGCTCTTACCGCTTCTACTGAACACGATACTGGAGGTTCTAGCCAGTTCAACAAGGCAAGTAAAAAATAAATAAATAGCAGACTGGAAAAGAAGCAAATCTCTCATTTTTCACAGATGGCATGATCCTGCAGGTAGAAAATCCAATAAATCTACACAAACGTTCCTAGAACTAATCCATGAATTAAACAAAATTGCAGGAAATGAAGTCAGTAAGAAAAAGCAATTAGATATATACAAACTCTCATAATTAAAAATTGAAATTAAAATTAGGTGTCTAGAGTAGTCAAACTTATAGGAACAGAAATAGAATGATGGTTGCCAGGGCATAGGGGAATGGGGAAAAATTATGGGGAGCTGTTTAATGAGTACAGTGTTTGTTTTGCAGGATGAAAAGGCTCTGAAGAGTGGTTGCATGAGCATGTGAACATGCTTAACACTATTGAACTGTACACTTAAAACTGGTAAAGATAATGATTTCTATGTAATATGTATTTCACTACAATGAAAAAAACAAAATTTCATAACTGAGGTGACAGGTTGAGCAAAAACTTGAAATTACAAAAACATTTACAATAGCATGAGCTATATGTAATGCGTAGGAATAAGTTTAGCAAAAAATATGCAAGATACTCAAAACTATAAGACATTGCTGTAAAAAATTGAAGACTTAAATGAATGAAGAAATATATAATGTTCATGGATCTGAAACCCCAATATTGTTAAAATGTCAGTTCTTCCAAAATTGATCCATAAATTCAACATAATCCCAACCCAAACACAAGCAAGTTACTTGGTAATAAGCAAAAGATGTACGATAGCAAAAACAACTTTTAGAAAGAACAAAAGTGGAAGACTTGCACTACCTCCAGCCTCTTATCACAGTAAGATTTCAAGAGTTACTGTAAAACTATTACAATCAAGACAAGAAGGTAATGGAGCAAAAATGGACATTTAAAATAGACTGCTTATGGGGTACACTTGCTCATCAAGGAACATAAAATAAATATTAAAAATAAAATGAAACATAACTGAGGGAGTCAGAAATAGACCCACACATAAGGTCAATGGATTCTTATTTCTTTCTTTTTTTTTTTTTTTTTGGAGACAGTCTTGCCTGTCATCCAGGCTGGAGTATAGTGGTACCATCTCAGCTCACTGAAACCTCTGCCTTCTGGGTTCAAGCAATTCTTGTGCCTCAGACTCCTGAGTAGCTGGGACTACAGGCACATGCCGCCATACCCAGCTAATTTTTAGTATTTAGTAGAGATGGGGTTTTGCCATGTTGGCCAGGCTGGTCTTAAACTCCTGACCTCAAGTGTTCCATCTGCCTTAGCCTCCCAAAGTGCTGGAATTACAGATGTGAGCCACTGTGCTCAGCCCGATGGATTTTTTTTAAAGAGATTTTTTAGAGATGAGGTCTTGCTATGTTTTCTAGCCTAGAGTTAAGCATTTATTTACAGGCCTGAAATAGTGCACAATAGCCTAAAACTCCTGGGCTCAAGTGATTCCCTCATCTCAGCCTCATGAGTAGCTGGGACTACAGGCATGTGCTACCACACCCAGCTTTTGTCAACTGATTTTTGACAATGGTACCAAGAAATTTGAAGATAATATTTTATTAAATGGTGCTTGAACACTTTTTGTTCTATTAAACAAAGATTTCTTAGACAAAACATAAAAGGCCAAACAACTCACAAAATAGGATTTCATCAAAAGTTAAAACTTTTACTCTTCCAAAGATAGTGTTAAAAATAAATTGAAAAGATGGCTAGGCATGGTGGCTCATGCCGGTAATCCCTGCTCTTTGAGGGGCCAAAGTAGCAGGATCATTTGAGCTCAGGAGTTCAAGAATAGCCTGGACAACATAGTGAAACCCTGTTGCCACAAACAATTAAAAAAAAAATTAGCCAGGCATGGTTGTACACATCTGCAGTCCCAGCTACTCTGGAGGCAGAAGTGGGAGCATCTCTTGAGTCTGGGAGGTCAAGGCTGCAGTGAGCCATGATGGCACCACTGCACTCCAGCCTGGGCAACAGAGCAACGTCTCTAATAAAGAACAAATATTTGGCAACTCAATAATAAGAACACAAACAATGCAATTTATTTTTTTATCAGGCAAAGGATTTAAAGACACTTCACAATAGAAGTTACGTGAAAAGACAGTATCATTAGGCATTAGAGATATGCAAATTAAAACCATAATGAGAACCCTGGTAGGATGGCTAAAACTAACAAAACTGACCATACTGTGTGCAGACCAGATATAAAGCTGCTGGAAATTTTATATATTGCTGTTCAGGACTGCACAATGGTACAGCCACGTTGGAAAACATTTTGGCAGTTTAAACATAGTATATTTAGGACTCGGTATTAACTAGGTTTTAGGCATCCACTGGCGGTCTTATCAAAGGTAAGTGGGTAAACAAACTATAGGGTATTCATACAATTCAGTATTACTCAGTAACTCAAAAGGAGTGAATATGGACACATGCAACAACATAGATGAATCTCAAAAGCATTATATAAGTGAAGAAGACACACAGGCACTCGATAACATACTGTATGATAAGATTTAAATGCAAGTCTAGAAAAGGCAAAACTATCGTGACAGTTCGGTGGTTGCCAGATACCGGGCGGTGGGTCTACACTGACTGCAGGTGGGCAAGAGAAAACTTTTAGAGGTGACGGAGATGTTCTGTATCATATCCATTTGTCAAAACTCTGAAATGTACACTATGAAGCTGGTAATTTTTATGGAATGTAAATTATACCTCAATAAAACTGATGAAAAGTCTGTAAATATTTAAGAAGAAATTTAAGTGACAGATCCATGAAAAATAACTCAACTTTATTAGTAATCAAAAAATATGCTACAATAGCCCTGTCCTTACCTGTAATTTTGCTTTCTGTGGTGTCAGTTACCCACAGTCAACTGCAGTCCAAAAATAGTTGAGTAAAATATAGTAAGGTATTTTGAGAGAAAGAGAGATAGCTCATATTCACATTAACTCTTAAAACAGTGTGTTGTTATACTTGGTGTTTTTTAGTTATTGTTAATCCCTTACTGTGCCTAATTTATAAGTTAAACTTTATCATAGATATGTATATATATAGGAAAAAACACAGTATATTTAGGCTTCAGTACTATCTGCAGTTTTAGGCATCCACAGGGGGTCTTGGAATGTATGCTCCAAAGATATGAAGGGATTACTGTACTACCATTTTTTTCAACTATTCAATTGACTAAAAATGATTACAGTATCCAGCCAAGAATACCTAAAAATGGGCATCATTCTCTCTCTCTCTCTCTCTCTCTCTCTCTCTCAAATAAAGATACCAGGTCTCTCTGTATTGTCTAGGCTGGCCTCAAAGTCTTGAGTTCAAGCAATCCTCCCTGAGTAAGTGGGACTACAGGCACACACCACTGCACCTGGCTTGGACATTCTTACATACTGTTGAGGGTGGTATATGAAGGTACAACTTTTCTGAGAACAGAGAAATATGTTTTAAAAGCCTTAAAAACATTCAAATCCTTTGATCAAACAATTTAAAGTTTTGTGTCTCTCTCTTGTTTTTTGTTTTTTTAGACAGGGTCTCACTCTGTCTCCCAGACCAGAGTGCAGTGGCACCATCACAGCTCACTGCAGCCTCAATCTCTCAGGATAAAGCGATCCTCCCATCTCAGCCTCCTGAATGGCTGGGACTACAGGCACCTGCCACCATGTCCAGCTAATTTTTGTATTTTTGTAGAGACGGCTCTGAATACATTGCCCGGGATGGTCTCAAACTCCTGGCCTGAAGTGACCCTTCTGCTTCAGCCTCCCAAAGTGCTGGGATTACAGGTGGTGTAAGTGACCATACCTGCCAAGCAATGTGAGTTCTAATAATTTATTCTGAGAAAATAATTAGGGAGGTGCAAAAAAATTACAAATCCCAGCACTTTGGGAGGCCAAGGTGGGTAGATCATCTGAGGTCAGGAGTTCGAGAATAGTCTGGGTAACATGGTGGAACCTCGTCTCTACTAAAATTATAAAAATTAGCTGGGCATGGTGGCAGCCACCTGTAATCCCAACTACTCTAGAGGCTGAGGCAGGAGAATCACTTGAACCTGGGAGGCAGAGGTTGCAATGAGTGGAGATATCATCACTGCCCTCCAATCTGGGCAACAAAGCAAGACCCTGTCTCAAAATAAATAAATAAGTCACAAACAAACATGTTTGTTTATACAGCACTATTTATTGAAGCTGATCAAATCACAGGTTTTTAAAAAATAGGACGGAATATTATTCAGCCAATTTAAATACACACATGTATGGACGTGCACACACACACAAATTTGCAATGTTCCCCAGGTGTCAAAAGCGACCAATCCTGCCTAATTGCCACTGAAAAGCCCTTTACTGACAAACAAGAAGCTGAGGATTTCAGATAAGTGAAGTAAACATACATGCAATGTCTCAACAGTATCTACAGAAAATTGGTATTACTCTATACCTTTATATCACCATCAATTTTTTCCCATTCTTCAGCTGTAAAACTGGCTGCTGTTGCTGCTGGTTTATCTTTCCTCAAAGCTCTACTTTCAGGGGCCAAGGCTTGAAGGTGCTTTTCACAAAATTCTGTAAGTTCAGGATAATATCCTTCCTCACCAGACCTTAAATAAAAATAAGTTTTAGAGTTAGCACCTTATTTAGGATCATCTAGACCAGCAGTTTGCAAGCTGGGTTCCATGGAGCACAGGGGTTCTGTGCAGATCTCAGGGGCTGCACAACGTTGAAAGCTGGACTGTTGGACTGTCTCCTTCCTAAACCTGCGCATTCTCCATTTTCACCTGCTAATCTATGAAATGATACAATGAAGAAAAAAAAGGAACTTCAAAGAAATCGATTTTCATCACACACTTTAAAAATGGAATAAGGGTGAGTGGGGCAGGGTGGTCCCCAGCCCTGTGGAGGAAATGGGGCTACTCTGCGGAGTTGACGTGGGTTCTAGGTTCATCCTGGTACCACCATTTTGAAGGTTTCCTTTAAGATCATGCTGACATCTGACCCGAGGCTGTTCCTGAAAGTACACCTTTCACAGCAATCTTAAAGTTTGCAACAGAAGAATTTCAAGTTCCTGCTGCAGTAAGTGCAGTTGTTACCAGTGATGGAATGGAACAAATCCTGCACAGACCACTGGAAATGTTTTTCTAAAACATGGTTCAGAACTGCAAATTATTCCCAGAGATTGTGATGGAAGTTGTTAACATCAGCTGCATGGAATATACAATTACCTTTCAGAATGAATACTGGTATTTTTTGTTGTTGAAAAATTGAAACCAGGCATTTAACACACTATGAAAACACCAAGAGTCAATGAATAATGAAAGGTAACTCATCTGTCCGTTGTTGTTGTCTGTACTCTTCATGTGAAGAGAGAATGCTTATGAATGAAGGGTACTACAGTTACAGAAGATTCCTACCTCACACACAAACAGGTAGTTCATTTGGGGTAAATGGATTATCCAACTAGTTTATAACTGAGAGCTTCTGATAATTTTTTGGGAAACATTTGAAACATTAAAATTTACTGAATCTTACATGTTTGAGTTAAAACTACTAAAAGAATTATGGATCATGAATGGCAATTTGCTTGATAGCATCTGGTTTGCAGACTCATAGTTTGATTTTTAATTAAATATATAGCTTATGATGAAGTCAATAAATATCAGTGAATAGTTAACTATATTTAATTTTTATCAGCCTAGGCACTGTAGCTCAGGCCTGTATTCCTAACACTTTGGGAGGCCGAGGCAGGAGGATCACTTGAGGTCAAGAGTTCGAGAACAGCCTGGCCAACATGGTGAAACTGGGTCTCTACTAAAAGTACAAAAATTAGCCAGTCATGGTGGCAGGCAGCTGTCATCTCAGCTATTCAGGAAGCTGAGGCAGGAGAATCACTTGAACCCGGAAGGCAGAGGTTGCAGTGAGCCGAGATTGTGCCACTGCACTCTAGCCTGGGTGACAGAACAAGACTCTGTCTCAAAAAAAAAAAAAAAAAAAAGAAAAATTTTTATCATTTAGTTTTTTATGTTTCAACCCTCATGTATCATATAAATTTCAGTTTAATATCAACCAAAAAATGAAAATTTTAATCTAAAAAAGCTGAATAATATTTTCTCTTCTCTTCAACATATGTATGTTCATATGTTCATTTTGTACATGATATTAAACTCGTAAGTTCAATATTAGTGACTGACAGAGAATTTGGGCTTCCTTTTAACAAGGAGTTTCTGTTCACAGTTTAATTTTTTTTTTCAAAGAGGTAGGAAGAAAATGGCAGATAAACAGTTTAAACAAAACACCCTGAAATTCAACCACTCAAGGAGCAGAATTCCTTCTTTAGAGAGTAAAATGGAGACATCTGTTCCTTTTATTTTTAAGAAAAATCAATCTTTTTCTAGTCTCTTGTAGGTCTGTTCACTCTTACGTTTCTAGAAAAATATAAATAAATTTGATTTCCAAATTAAATTTTAAAAAACAATTCAAAGTTCAATACATTATAACTAAATTAGACTATTCATAGAATTTCTTGGAACCAATATTATTATAACTGTAGCTTTCCAACTGTTTCATCCAATAAACTTTTTATTTTTATTTATCAGTCCTTGGCCAAGCATACATGATAATATTCTGCTAAAAAAAGGAGGGGGGGAACAATTGATATTATTGATTTTTCGCTTTCCATTCCGAAAATGATGTTATTACATCAGCATCTGGCTGGGGACCAACAAGGGAGACAGGAAGCCAAAGGTGATGAAAGAGAAAAAGGAAAGAAGCCAGTGATAAGGAATAGGGATAGAGAAATAAAGAAGCACCACAGAGCAACAGGAACACTAGATGTCCTGGAAGGTAAGCTCATGCTCCACAAGCATCTTCTGCGATCGAACTCTGGCCTCCAAAGGGAAACAGCTCAAGGGATCCAAGAGAGGCCTCAGCACTTTGGGAGGCCAAAGCAGGAGGAGTCTGACATCAGCCTGGGCAACACAGTGCGATCCAGTCTTTAAAAAAAAAAAAAAAAAGAAAGAAAGCAATCCAAAAGAGGTGTCACAGGTTGGTACTCCTCAGGACAGTGTTTCTTCAGTGGGTTCCTCGAACACCTGCATATCAATCAGCCAGCTCCATTGTTAAAAACACATGTTGCCGGGCTGTACCCCAGATTTCTTAAAGCAGAATCGCTGGGAATAGGACCCTCAAATATGCATTTTTCACAACCACATTTGATGTATTTTCAGTTGGACAGTCACTAGGATGAGGCTCTACCCTGAAAAGGCCCTAATTCCCTGCCTTCTGATACTACCTTCAGGCCTCCCCACCACCTTCCATGTAATCAGTGTGCAGTGGGTCATCCTCCTTTGTTGTCAGGTGATATGAAGTGGGAAAGTGCCAAATAACTTGATCAGCCTAGGCTGGTGAGATAAGCTTACCTTCTAATAGCTTTTGTTTTTTGTTGAGACTCTTGTCACCCAGGCTGGAGGCTAGAGTGCAGTGGCACAACCAGGGATCACTAAAGCCTCTAAGGCCCAAGCAATCCTCCCACCTCAGCCTTCTAAGTAGCTGGGACTAAAGGCTCAGATAATTTTTGTATTTTTTTGTATAGATAGGATTTCACTCTGTTGCCCAGGCTGGTCTTGAACTCCTGAGCTCAGATGATCCACCTGCTTCGGCCTCCCAAAGTGCTGGGGTTACAGGTATGAGCCACCACACCCCACCCTAACAGTTGTCTTCACAGCTGCTTTACCTTCTCCTAGAAAATGTAGAGAAGGCAAGAAAAATGCTCTCCTGGATACTAATTAGCCTAAGTCTCATGCTGGCAGTAGATACAGGTGGAACTCTCCAAACTAACCACAGAATCAAAACCACTATTTTGGGACCTACCCTGCATGGTCAAAAACAACAATCTCAATATTTAAGAATTTTCTGCAATATTTCTCCTCTTTTTTTTTAAGATGGAGTCTTGCTCTGTCGCCAGGCTGGAGCGCAGTGACGCGAGATCTTGGCTCACTGCAACCTCCACCGCCCAGGTTCAAGCAATCCCCTTGCACCTGGCCTCCTGAGTAGCTGGGACTACAGGCTCATGCTGCCACGCCTGGCTAATTTTTTGTATTTTAGTAGAGATGGGGGTTTCACCATGTTGGCCAGGATGGTCTTGATCTCCTGACCTCATGATCCACCCGCCTCAGCCTCCCAAAGTGCTGGGATTACAGGTGTGAGCCACTGCACCTGGCCTTCTGCAATATTTCTAATGTAGCTTTTACTTTCAGAAGGCAACAGCAAGATAATTAAAATTGTCACACTAAAACATGAAATGATTTTTAAATGCTTACCTGAGCACACAAAGAATTTTTTCCAGATGTTTAACATCTGAACATTTTTCAATGTATTTGAAATCCAGATGTTCAATGGGAATTTTAAACGTTTTTGTTGTTCCAAAACCCCACAGTGATGGATAATCTTTGGTGGTCATAGCTGAAATACAATATTAAAAAGTTATTACTCTAATGTATAAATAATACTCAATTTAGATAGTAGTAACCATGTAGGTACTTCTTTGTATTTTTTTAATTTAAAATTTTTTTGTAGAGACAGGGTCTCACTATGTTGCCCTGGCTGGTCTCTAACATCTGGCTTAATCAATTCTCTTGCTTCAGCCTCCCAAACCGCTGGTATCACAAGCATGAGCCCCATTGTGCCTGCCCCACCTAGGTGTTCCCAGACCAAACTGAGGGTTGGCCTGCTGGTTTTCATGGTCCAATAATGAAATGCAGATGAACTGAGGAGGAAGAGAGTATTTATTTCTGCAACCAGTCACAGGGAGAAGGCTTGGACATTATCACCAGACCAACTCAAAATTACAAAGTTTTCCAGAGCTGCTATACCTTATAAGCTATATGCCTATGTGTAAGTATGCCTTCATCTAAAGAGATAAGAGATTAACTTCTTAATCTATAACTAAGGTCTGAGTTCTAAAGACCTTCCTCTAGGGTCTCAGTAAATTTATTTAAATGGGTCCAGGTGCTGGGGCTATTACCCTTATCTTGTCTCCAGCTAAATCACGGAGGTTTGGGGAGTTCCTTCAGCCACCCCGATAAACTTGTTTGTGGAGGTCTGGGGAGTTTCTTCAGACCCACAATAAAACTTGTTTAATTCTAAATGGGTCCTCCTAAAACTTCCTTTGTTATTTTGTCATGCTTTAAGGCCCAGGAAAGGCCTAGGTAAAACTCTTGGTGGGCTTTTGTTATATCCCAGCCTTTGTATAAGGGCACTGGCTTTTAATATTTAACTTAAATACACAGTACTGAAACAGTTGTTATGGAGGCCTATGTTAGTGAGATCTGGCCTGCCACATAGGTACTTCTGTATAAAAAAAGGTGGAGTGTTTGTTTTTTTTGTTTTTGTTTGGTTTTTGAGATGGTGTCACTCCGTCACCCAGGCTGAAATGCAGTGGTGCAACTGTGGCTCACTGCAGACTGGCCTTCTGGACCCAAGTGATCCTCCCACCTCAGGCTCCTAAGTAGCTGGGACTACAGGCATGGTGCCACCACTCCCAGCTAATTTTTCTTAAATTTTTTTTTTTTTTTTGGTAGAGATGGGGTTTTGCCATGTTCCCAGGCTGGTCTCAAACTCCTGGGCTCAAGTGATCCTCCTGCCTTGGCCTCCCAAAGAGCTGGGATTATGGCTGTTTGGGAGGCCAAGGCAGGAGGATCACTGGAGCCATCATGCCCAGTCCATCTAGGTACTTCTGTAGAAAAGAAGGTAGAGGCCGGGCGCAGTGGCTTATCCCTATAATCCCAGCACTTTGGGAGGCGGATCACGAGGCCAGGGTTCAAGACCAGCCTGACCAACATGGTGAAACCCCATCCTTACTAAAAATACAAAAATTAGCTGGGAGTGGTGGTGGGCACCTATAATCCTAGCTACTCAGGAAGCTGAGGCAGGAGAATTGCTTGAACCCAGGAGGCGGAGGTTGCCCGAGATTGCGCCACTGCACTCCAGCCTAGGCAACGGAACAAGACTGAGTCTCAAAAAAAAAAGAAGGTAGAGGTTTTTTCCCCCAGGAAGTCTCTTCATTTTGAATTCCCTATCCCTGATAACAGCAGTTAACATTTATGGAGTGAAATTACTGTGTGCCATACATGGATTACCTCACTTAATCTTCACTTAAGCAAAACTGGAATACAATGACAGAGCAGGTTGTGGTGCCCAAACTGCTTTTTAAGACTTTTAAATGTTAATTTTGAATGACCTTCTGCTACTTTAGCTGTTTGTTAACATCCCAATCATCCTTTGTGATTCACCACAAACATAAATAACATCCTGTCTGTAACTTTCCTTAACACAATCCTTTTCCCCACTCCCTGCCTCCTCCTTCACCCTACCACTCTCAGCCATGAACAGCTCCCAGAACTGTGTTCTAAGGACACTCTGTATATACCTCTTTTTTTTTTTTTTTTTGAGATGGAGTCTTACTCTGTCACTCAGGCTGGAGTACAATGACACAATTTTGGCTCACTGCAACCTCCTCCTCCTGGGTTGAAGCGATTCTCCTGCTTCAGCCTCTCAAGTAGCTGGGAATTACAGGTGTGCATCACCCCACCTAGCTCATTTTTGTATTTTTAGTAGAGACAGGGTTTCACCATGTCGACCAGGCTGGTCTTGAACTCCTGTTCTCAAATGATCCGCCCACCTTGGCCTCCCAACTGGGATTACAGGTGTGAGCTACCGTGCTGGGCCCTGTACATACCTCTCTCTTAGCACATATTTGAATTATGTTTTATTTGTCTTCCTTTCTAGATTGTGAAAGAGCTCACTTTATTTATCCTCATAGCTCCAGGGCGAGCATAATAAGTAGTGCCTATACCCCTTCAGAAACATTTTGCTGAATTTAATTGAATTGGGACCATCAAAGCTTAAAAAAAAAACTGCACTAAACCCTATTGGTCAATAATTTTAAAAACAAGAAGTAGCGGCCAGGTGCAGAGGCTCATGCTGTAATCCCGGCACTTTGGGAGACCAAGGTGGATGGATCACAAGGTCAGGAATTCAAGACCAACCTGGCCAAGATGGTGAAACCCCATCTCTACTAAAAATACAAAAATTAGCCAGGTGTGGTGGCAGGCGCCTGTAATCCCAGCTACATGGGAGGCTGAGGCGGTAGAATTACTTGAACCCTGGAGGTGGAGGTTGCAGTGAGCTGAGATTGTGACACTGCACTCCAGCCTAGGTGACTGAGCAAGACTCCATCTCAAAAACAAACAATAAACCAAGAAGTAGCAATGGGTCTAATTCATAGAAGTATTTCTTTCAACCCTCTGGGCGTCTGGTCATATATTAGACCTCTGCAGAAAAAGAGGACACTGTCCACTTCTCCAAATTCCTGCCAGCTTTGACTTAGGTATAAGATACAGATGACAGTTCTTAGACTTCAGGATGAGATCCAGCTGAGAAATCAGATGTGGCTTTCACACCATTCCTGCAGGGCCTATTGATGAATGGCTTCCATGACAAGGATAACCTTAAGGGGCAGAAGTTACAGGAAAGCAAGATGAAGAACTTGTAAATTATTGTTGCTGCCCAGAATAGAATGGGTTGCCCTAGGAGTACTTTTCCAAAGAGCTGGGGGATCTTTGGTGGAAGACCTGTAAACATGGGATTAAAATAGATTATCTTGAATTGAAGGTATTTTGCAACCCCTGAGATTTTATGATTTCAATAAAATATGATTAAAAACATATAAAATGACAGAGCCATCTCTCTCTCTTTTTTTTTAATTGAGAAGGAGTTTTGCTCTTGTTACCCAGGCTGGAGTGCAATGGCGCGATCTCGGCTCACTGCAACCTCTGCCTCCTGGGTTCAGGCAATTCTCCTGCCTCAGCCTCCTGAGTAGCTGGGATTACAGGCACGCGCCACCATGCCCAGCTAATTTTTTGTATTTTTAGTAGAGACGGGGTTTCACCATGTTGACCAGGATGGTCTCGATCTGTTGACCAAGTGATCCACCCGCCTCGGCCTCCCAAAGTGCTGGGATTACAGGCGTGAGCCACCGCGCCCGGCCTCAGAGCCATCTCTTATCTAATCAAATGAATTTCATTCTGAACACCCTTTTAACATTTCTGAGAATCTTTTTGTTTTAAAGACTAGTCAAGTGCAGTAGTGAGAACAGACAAAGTACAACAAGGAGTTGGCTCTAAAACTGAACAGTCAATTGGGAGAACTCAGTACCTTTGGACCAAGTCTCTCTGAGAATCCTTTTTGAAAACTACCATGCTTTTTTTTTTGTTTGTTTCTTTCTGTAAGATACACCTTTTCAAGATTACCGAATGTCCATCCCAAGTTCCAAAAAGCAAGTTATACGATACATTAGAACTCTTCCGCCTCTGTTCGCAAAGTCTTTGTCTCGAATTGGGAAAATCTTGGGTCCTAGCTGGATGTAATTGCTCCCCCATCCGGATCTATACCCACCTCCCTATCTCGTGGCCAGTTTGCTAATCCCTCCAGTGCAAAGTGCTCCGGCCTAGTAACGCGGAAAGCTGGGTCTGTCCCACCGAGGCACCGTCTTCCCTACACAGGGCCGAGCGCCCCCTGCAGCCGGAGACCGAAAAGGAAACGGCATCCTCGGCCGTAGCAACGGTCTCTGTGTACAGCGGCGCCGGGACCCGGCAGCCCCACAGCCCCGCCGCGACGGTCTCCGATCTCTCCCCAGCCCCCGTGGCTTGGGTCACCAGGGCCGAGCGCGCCGCTGGGCCCGGGAACTCCGGCGTCGCCACCGCGCCCCGATACCCGACACCGTCCCCCGCGGCCTGGAAAGCCCCGCGCGTTCCCAGGCCTGGAAGGACGTCCACGTCACGGCTCCCTCTCCCTCGCGGCCCACCGCCCCTTCCGCCCCGGGAGGGAAGGACTGAGATGCGACGCATCCTGTTCCCAGCCCGCAGGTACAGACAGGCACTCACCTGGTTATCAGCGCCCCGCCTCGGGGAGGTCGAGGCCGCTGCCACAGCTCCGGCTACGGCGCACGTGACGAGGGAGGGGCGGGGCCAGAGGCCACAGGGCCTGTTGGTCACGCCTCTGCCACGCCCCGACCCGCTGCCCCGCCCATCTGCCCACTGGCCCCAGGTTCACCCTTCGCCGCCTTCATTGGCAGTGGGCCATTTGAGCCATTTTTTTTTTTTTTTTTTTATGAGTGATAATATGCAGTGTTTGGTTTTACAATTTCAAATTAGATCACACTTGTATTAGTATCATATTTTTACATAGCAAATAAGCCCATCATGGGTGAAAAGCATTCTAGAAAGGGGAATGAACCAGTAAAATGCAGAGACATTCAGATACTAGGGTAAGGGAAATCACAGTATCATAGTTCTGGTTGGGACTTTACCGATTATCTAACTCAGAACACTGGGTGCTAAAACCAGAAAATCATGAGGCAAACCAGGATCACTGTTAACTCTAGCAGTCCTCTTTCAGTCACGGCCATCACCCCTAGCATCCGCCAGGCACAGGGGCTCACGCCTGTAATCCCAGCACTTCGGGAAGCCGAAGCGGGAGGATGGCTTGAGGCCAGTTCGAGACCAACCTGGGCAACAAAGTGAGAGCCTGCCTCTAAAAAAAAAATTATTTAAATATAATTTTTTATTTTTTATGTATTTATTTTTTTGGAAGCAGAGTCTTGCTCTATCGCCCAAGCTGGAGTGCAGTGGCATGATCTTGGCTCACTGCAACCTTGGCCTCCCAGGTTTAAGTGATCCTTGTGCCTCAGCCTCCCGAGTAGCTGGGATTACAGGCGCCCACCACCACACCCGGTTTTTTTGTATATTTAGTAGAGATGCATTTCACCATGTTGGCCAGGCTGGTCTTGAAATCCTGACCTCAAGTGATCTGCCCTCCTCAGCTTGCGAAAGTTCTGGGATTACAGGTGTGAGCCACCATAGACACCTGGCCCATAAATAAGTTTTCAAAACGCTGTTACTGTTCTGTTATCCTGGACTGCTCTATTCCCTGCTAAGTAAATTGATCTCCTATTTAACTACTATAAAAAGTAATTAAAAATTCAGAGTTGTTGAGAAATGCTGAGTGTATGACAAAATGTCATCTGCTAAGAACAATGGCAAGGAGAACCTAGCCGCTCCCCACCCCCAGTGGATAACTACTTGGGGCATTCTAAAGTGGCAAGACAGTATATGTAAACCATACACCGGTTAAAACAATTCTTTAAGCACAGGACATGTGACCCAGCCCCCGTGGCTCCCTCGTGGAGAATACTTTCCAGTTGGTCTGTGATCCGTGGTAAGCAGGCACCAGCTGCCTACCTAGTTTATGTTGCTGCTGTGAGAAAACACAGAACACCTGTTTGTTAATAATAATCACCTGTTCACAGAGAATAACTAATGTGGGTCAGCCTGGAATGCTGTCAGCCCTCTGAGGCTCTCATCTCAGAAGACTGTTGGTTCCCCCAGATAATCCCACTTTGCTGTACTATCTGGGTGTCTGCTTTTTAATTCCTTCAGCACTGCCTGGGTGGGGGTCTCTACGGCCTAGTTCGTCTCGGTACAGAGTGCATTGCAACCAAGATTCACTTACCTCTTCCTCTTTAAAAAAAGAGTAAATCACAGACAAGGTTCCCTCTTTCTTTTCAAGCATCCACATTTTCTGAGTGGTGGTTATGAGTCAGGCACCAAATGCAGCACAGGGATGAAAAGGTGAATAAGACAAAATAGCAATACAGATGAGATGAATAAAACGATAGTGGTTACTTGTCTGGAAATTTCAGTTTTATAATTTCAAACTAGTTAAAATAGATGAATATCGAAGTTCATTTACAGTGCCTGGCAGTTCTGTAAATATATTTCTCTTTCCCTTTTGCACTTTACAGCCCTGCAGTCTGCTACCAAACACTGTTAGTGGCAAAAATTCTAATGCTCAGCAGGACACAGTGGCTCATGTCTGTAATCCCAGCACTTTGGGAGGCCAAAACGGGCAGATTGCTTGAGCCCAGGAGTTCAGACCAGCCCGAGCAATATAGTGAGAGGCTGGCTCTATAAAATAAAAAATTTAAAAAATGATCACTTTAGTGATCTTCATAGAGGTAAAAGAAGATATCATCCAAGAAACAAGGAGATAAAGTGAGGCCTGGTAAAGTTACTTAGCTAGATAACAAGGGGTGGTGTATTTGGATCCAAAGCCTTGCACCAAAGCCCTTATTGTTTACTGATCTCTTAATTACTAACTAATCCATCAGTAAGTCCCATTGGCTCAACCTCAAAATGTAACTCACAGCCAGATACTTATCACCTCCACAACTACGGCCCTGGCCCAGCCACCATTACCTCTAATTATTACAGATGGTCTCGTTTCCTTGCTGCCACCTGCCCTATATAGTCTATTCTCATATAACAGCCTAGTAATTCTTCATGCCGCTCTCCTGCTTACTGTCCCAATGGCTTCCCATCACAACACCCTAAGTGAGCTGACCTCTTCTGTCCACCTCTGCAACCTCATCTTCTCCCACTATCCCTCCTGTCATGAAGTTTGAGTCACATGGGCTTGATTCTGAAGTGGGAACAGGATTAAGCTCACTTTTCACCCCAGAGCTTTTACATGGGGTGTCTTCCCTATTTCGGTGTTGCTCTTTCTCATCCTTCTATCCTCTGCTCAAATAACCACTCCACCTGAACTTCTAACACAGAACTCATTCTAAGGAAGGGTGAGGACATGGATGTATTATGTATGATGAGGCAACTTGTCACCCAGTCTGGAGTGCAGTGGTGCATCTTGGGTCACTGCAACCTCCACTTCCTGGGTTCAAGCAATTCTCATGCCTCAGGCTCCCAATTAGCTGGGATTATAGGCACACACCACCATAACCAACTAATTTTTTGTATTTTTAGTAGAGAAGGAGTTTCGCCATGTTGGTCAGGCTGGTCTTGAACTCCTGAGCTCAAGCGATCCTCCTGCCCTGGCCTCCCAAAGTGCTGGGATTACAGGTGTGAACCACTGTGCCCAGCTTTCATTTTTTAATTTTTCATAAGTCCAATCTTTTACAATAGCTATCTTAAACCACTGTTTCCTCCATATGCCTTATGACTACTTGTAATCATAATTCCTCCACTTTGATAATGAAACTGAAAATAAAGTGAACTGGCCATTGAGTGGCAAGACTGGATTTGAAATCTTCATTTAGTGCTTTTCAGTGTGTCCAGTCAGTAAGCCGTTAACAGGGTGCCAAGTTATGTGCTAACATCAAGCTCAAGCTTATTAATTTTCATATTTTAGAGCACTACTCAAAAGAATGTTTTTAAGGCCATTTTATGTCAGTAAAATTACTTCCAGTTTCTAGATGAAGGGAGCACAAAAAGGTAAGTGGCTGAGAGCAGACTGAGTTCCAGCTGTAATACTTTTTGCATTAAATTCTTCTGCCCAGTTAGCCAGGTAACAATATTCAATTAAACTACTGATATGAAAAGGACTTAGTCTAAAATTTAGAAGAATTAACAACAGTGTAACTCTCTTATCCCATAAGTTGGGGTTTATCTGTTTAGGGAACTGTCATAAAGAGATAACATGTATTGGGATTCCCATATCTAAAAAGTTCAAGAAGGAATATACCAGAATTATAAAATTAAGACAGCTCAATTTTATTGCCAGCCTGGGCAATGTAGTGAGACCTCAGCTCTACTAAAAATCAAAAGAATCAGCCAGCTTGGTGGTGTGTGCTTGCAGTCCCAGCTATTCAGGTGAGAGGATTCTGAGTCTGGGAGATGAAGGCTGTACTAAGCTATGATCATGCCACTGCACTGCACAACTCGCTCCTCCGAGAGAGAGACATTGTCTTAAAAAAATAATAATCTCAGCATGGCAGTATCTCATATAGCATGCAGTAAATTTATAGAATATATGAAGATGGTAGTAAAAATAGAGGTGTTTTTTACAAAACCATGGACAATATTTTGAATGTCAAACACAGACATAGCTATTAATAAAGTTGAAATACATCAGATCTTCAAATTGCATGTCAGGCTGGTCAACATGACATTCCAGAACCATGGAATCCCTGAACAGAATCTCGTATAGTTACCATTAAATCAACATCCCTAAGATCAAGGCTAAAGATTTAAACATTAATCCAGTAATTCAATGTAAACCAATGCTCTCTTTCCCAACCCTTGACTCAGGGTGTTGCTCAGTCCATCAGGCTGGAGTGCAGTGGCACGATTATGGCTCACTGCAGCCTCAAACTCTGGGACTCAAGTGATCCTCCCACCTTAGCCTCCCGAGTCACTGCCTCTTCTTTTTGCATCCTAAAAGCAGAACTGACTTTAATGAGTGATTACACCTGTGAAACTGCACTTGGCTTAATAGCCTGCTTCTTTGCTTGGGGTTGATTTTGCCTTACAGAAGGTAACAATTTAAGTTTCCCTTCATTATTCTGAGATTTAAGAGTCAAGCATTACATGAAAATAAAGGCCTATACCAAGTAATAAATGAAAAACTGAACTCAAGATGATGTATGCATACTGACACCAAGCACAATGGTATACTCCATATCCAATGAAACAGTGACACAGAACAGTGGTTTCCAATAAATTTATTTAATCAGAACTTCAAAGGGTTCTAGAAACTTG